AAAGGATTATTTTACATATTTCTTTGCGGAATAAAGAAATTTTCATTCTTCCTGTCGCAGCAAAGAAAAAGCTAAGAATATCTTTCGGCACATAGAAAGTGAAAATATTATAGGCTCTTGCATTATTACAAAAAAAAGAAGGGGGAGGAAAAAGAAAGGGGGGGAGGTGGGAGTGGGGGGGTAGCTGCCTTAGAGATTAAGTTTCCCTTTTATGAAATCGTATTTAGTCTCTTTTTTTAACAAATCTAACAACAATGCTCTACAGCCTCTCACTGGGAAATACCTTTAGTGTTAAATACAGATTCTGATTTTCTTGGCTAATGCAGAAAGCCCTTCTATTGAAAAATAAATAAGGGGCTTGGTAGATCCCACTAAAGCCTTTTCAGTGAATGACTTCTGTGGGTTTTTTTTCCATGGCTACCCTCCATCGCTGTAATATGAAGCTTTTATCCTACTATTGAAAACTATCCTCTGCTATTTAAAAAGAAAGAAAGTAAGTAAGAAAAAAAGAATAAGACAAAAAGGAAAGGGTGGGGGGCATGGAAGGTGAGCAAAACCCCTAAACTAAAATAGGACACTACAAACCTTTTCATCTAAGAGTTCAATCCCTAATTTGGGAAAGCCTTATCACTGCCATAGGTAGTTTGCATCCTGTGTGAAGAAGAAGAAAAAAAAATATCAAACAAACCAACCATTTTATTTTATTTTCTGATTCAAAATCTCCAGCTCATTTCCATTTGATCTTTGGTTTAGCATGAAGAAAGATTAAGACCTCCAGCTCTGCTCTTTTTTCTCTCCTTTTCTTTTTTGTATGCGATTATTATCGTTATTATTACTTTTGCCTATAAATGAACAGTTGCGTGGGGATTTTTTTAACCATGCAGACTTGTCTCACCGAAAGTATGCTAAAAACACTCTTAAATAACATAGCCAAAGTCACCTGCACAGAGACAGAGATGGGGAGAGGCGTAACTACCCAAATTTAACTATTTACAAAATGACTTTCCATGTGACAGGCGGAAACTGCTTATAAAAGAGAGAGATTCTATTCTGCGAGAACCGTTGCGTCTGGATGTGTGCGCAGAGAGCTTTTAGCCTCCGAGTGCAACAATTTAGTCTCCTCCACGGCCTTATGTATCACACAGCAGAAAGCGAAGGATTGCAGGCACCCTTGATGTTAAACTTGTCCTTCTTGGTGATCCCCAATGATTAAGAGGCCAGCATCCTCTGAACAACTGAGCCCTAAAGAAGTTCTGAGTTCTGCCTCTTACTCACACCACAGTGTAAAGGGGGGGGGAGAGATGATAATTATCTGGGCATGTCAGACAGGAAGGCAGAGGCTGATTCCTTTCTCTTCTCCTGATGCATTCCTCGCAAAAATCATTCCTCTCATACTAAAAGTGCCAGCAGAAAACTTCTTCCCAAAGTAGGAAACAGTAGATCGAAACAGTAGATTCCCAAACAAAAGGTTCAAAAGGAATAATTCTGGCCGATACCCACAATGGGGAGGAAAGAAGAGTTAAACTCCCTCTCTATGTACAGTATTTGGGGTACATGTGCACATACACACACACTTTTCGGCAGTATTTAAATGCAGAAATGTGTTAGATCTCACAACTAGTTCAGTCCAAAGGTGGATGGTTTTGATGAACAAAGTACAAGGCAAATTTGGGGAAGCATAGCCCACTGCACCTTATTCAATACTGTGTGTTCTCATGCAATATAGTGATAACATCTTATGAGGCTACTTGACACCATAACCGTAGCTGATTATTATGTGACAACTACAGTCAGTAACAGGACGACTTGGTTACTGTAAAAACATATCTTGATATTCTGTTCATGGTTAAGCAGCTTCTCAGAAGCTGCCCCCAAAAGGACTGTAAGATACTGCAAAGTTTGTGCCTTTGGTTTCATGTACCATTTACGAACAGTGCATAATTTACATGGGAAGAGAAAACTGCAGATAAGTACAGTCCTTGCGTCTAAGAACTGACTCATTCAAACCAACCTCTTGTCTTCTGAGATTGTACCAGGCATTCAAGCAGGCATCCCCTATTCTGAAAGGCTGGGACATGGCTTGGAAGTGATCTTTCCATATGGTAAAGAACATAAGCCCTAGTCAGGCATTCAAGGTGGCATTAATCTGAAAGTGTGAGCATAGAAAGGGTTCTAGCCCCTGTCTGCCTGTCTCTGCCTCCGTGCAAACAAGGACAATCTGAAGTGAAGACAAGTCTGTTTATTCATAGAGCCTCTGCAGTCAGGAATCCTGATTTTTCAGGATCCCCATTAACGTGGCAACACTCCATATATAATAGCTTTCCCCTTCCAATGGTCTCTCTCTCTCTCTCCTTCTCTTCCTTGCCCCGTGAAGACACGATCAAGAAGGATGTGGCACTAAAACGTCTCCCTGTTCAACTTATTGAATTAACCCTTCCTTAAATGCCTGAATAGGGCTGTAGTCTTAGAGGAATATAGCCATGCAGAAATCTATTATACAATCCTGCTAGCCAACATGATACAGTGGGGTCTCGACTTACGAACGGCTCGACATACGAATGTTTCGACTTACGAATCGCTCTCATAGGAATATATGGACTCGACTTACGAACTTAGATTCGAGTTACGAACTCTTTTTTTCCTTTTTTTAAAGCTAAGTCATCTTAGGTTAAAAGGAAAAAAGAAAAAAAAATCCCCCTCTAGTGGCAGAAGGCGGAATAGCAGCTTCCCATTAGTTTGTATGGACGAAAAGAGCAGATACGGATTAAATGGTTTTCAATGCATTCCTATGGGAAATGCAGATTCAACTTAAGAACTTTTCGACCTGAGAACTGCCTTCCAATACGGATTAAGTTCTTAAGTCGAGACCCCACTGTACTTGCTGATTGATGCATGAGAACCTGAAACCTAAGAGTCATTCTGTCCACTGCAAGATGAATATAATGTCCATGTGAAATTACCCACATGTCATGGTATGCTAGTAGGGACACCTTGGGTCATCTTGGGAAGAAAAGCAGGGTATAAATGAATGAATAAATAAATAATTGGAATTATGCTATATGACAATGTACTCCGCAGAGCCAATGGTTATTTGCCAATGTTTAACTCCAATATGGCAGCTTTTGTGCTTCACTGTTTGGCTTTAGAAAGCGCAGCTCAAGAGCCACTGTCAAGTCATAGAGCATATCCACAACAGCGTATATCCATAGCTAGGTTGGCTTGATACCACTTCAGCAGCTGTGGTTCTATCCTGGAACCACGAATCCTAGGATTTGCAGTTTGGTGAGGTACTTGCATTTTAAAGCCAGACAGCTCCAATGTACCCCCCTGAAGTAGAACAAAGAATTCTAAGTATCTTATCCAAGTCCTAGGATTCTATAGGACACAGCTACAGCATTTAAAGTGGTAACAAACAACTATAACTGTGTAGGATGCATATGCTTGGAGGAAGCAAGAACAAACACAGAAACACAGAGAAGTGCCTTATACTACATCAGTCAGTAGTATATCTAGCACAGTGTTATTTATAATGATTACCATAATCTTTCCAGGGTTCATGAGAAGTGAATTCTCCCAGCTCCAAATGACACATCAACACAGCATTCATTTCAAATAATAACACTGAGAAATTATTAAGGAGAAACTATACTGGTGTTCCCTAAAAGCCAAAGAGGTAGAGGAATTGGAGGAACAACAACAGAAGAGGAAACTGAGTATATTTCCATGTTGTTGAAAACACACAGAGATATGGCACTAAATTCTTTGTCAGCTGAAGAGTTTTCCTGAATGTCAAAAGATACTGTACTTTGGACTATTTTCTATGTCTGTCCAGGGTAAAAATGAATGTCTACCAAGAAGGGCTACCAAGCCAAAGAGATCAGTTCTTATTTACGGGAGAAGCACTGGGAAAGGTCCAGCTTACAAAAAACAAACAAAAAAAGGTTTTGTGTCATACTGTGTTTTTTTTCTATAATGATTTCCCTAACTCCATTTTAAACTGATTAAACCTTGATTGGCACTTGTAGGAAAAATTCTCTCCAAATCTCAATTTAACCTATTTTCCGTTTGTTGTCTTAAAACATCTGTATATTCAAATTCAAATCTTTTTGTTGAAGTTCAATGCACTTTCTCCCATTGTTATATGAGATTTCTCCCACCCACTTTCAGTAGCTGCATGTATGTTAACGATCAAGATATAGAAACTCATGATTTAACGAAAACATACTCTCTGACGTAGTCCAGGCACGAGCCTGCTGTGGTACATGGATCATTATTTATCCTTCAGGAAAAAGATAGGTAGGGTTAGGCTGTAAAAAATTTGTCTCGACTACTTTTTTCTAGTTTTCAACTTGAAAAACAGTGGTAAGAACGCAGCATTCCTATCTGGTTAACAATATGCAGTTGCAGTGCAAAGGAGGAAAATGTAATATTAACGCTGCTAATGTCTGGTCTTGAGTACAGGCTGTGCATGTAATTCCCAGGGCAAGATTTAAATGTAAAGCTTTGTCCTTCTCTGTCGTTGTAAGGCAAGGCCATAGCAGTTAATAGCAATCACACAACTGAGAATTACCACGGGGCCCAGGGTAGGCTGTACCACCCAAATAAGGACAGATTGATCAGAAAAATGTCTTTCTTTCGGAAGAGGGAGATAACTGACTTTCCTCAATATCCTGTCACTTTGATGCACATCACAGTCTATGCTAGCAATTAGAGAATAACCAGATGTATGAAGAACACACCATATCCCAAGAACCTAACCATACTCTCTGCAGGAAAGGATCAACTGCGTCCTGCAGGAAAGAGGTTCCTCAAATTATGTTTAGGTCTTATGAATTTTTGACGGACTACTGATGAATTTTTAAATGCTCAGGATTGTCACAAAGAAGTCTCTCTCCTCTTTTTAAATTAAAAAAAAATGAGAGAGGGTAGGAGTGGAGAAGAGAGAGCAAAAAGAGAGAGAAGCTACCTCTGCAGTTGTCTTAATGTAAAACATGCTGTACCTGCAATGTTCTCCTGCTTGGGGCAAATTCCTTTTGTAGGCGTGAGAAGACGATCTTCTTCATCGGGTGTGACTTGGATCCCGATTTCCACTGGCTCTGACACTTTCCTGAGCTCGGAGCGTGACGAAGGGGGAGGGCTGCTCTTATCCAGATTCTTTTCATAGCAGGCACTGCCAGCGCCATTACACTGTTTCTTCTTGTGCTCTATAAAAACCAAGATGTCTCCCAGGGGGAAGTTCATCTGACACTGTCCACAAGTTAGTAGGTCAGGGTCTGCTCCACCCGTTGCAAGGCTAAGCCCAACTGGCTCTCCTATTGCTAGGCTCTCCTCCTCATGGACGATGGCCGTTTCCACATGGTCAGCCTCTGCTTTATGTGGGTATACAGGAAAAAGGTGAGGGGTCGAGGGGGCAGGAGAGAAAAGAAAAGAGAGGGAAAAGAATTGAGAGCAATTTGTTTACATATTCATATAACCTGAATTGGAACAGGATTTTCATAAAGCCCAGTTGTACACCTTTTATCTATTTTCCCCTCCCTGAATGTCTCCATGAATGATTTAAATACATTTTGCAACCACGTCTGTCTGTGAAACAAAAATAAGGGATATATATCTGATGTGGCTTTCCTGAACATGCTTTCAAACTACCCTGGAGCAACACAGTAATAACAACAGTAAAAACATGTCAGGATAGAACCATAACCTGTATGATTCAGTGGACAGAACGATGGACTTATACAGGTGGTTCAAGTCCCAACAATTCATTTACAAATAGCTTGTGCAACCTTAGCCATGTCTCAGCCTCTACTCTTCCTCCTGTAAAATGGAAGCAATAATGACACACCTGACAGGGTTGTTCTAGAAAGATTGTAATTTGCTATTTAAAATAACAAATTAATTACCAAATAAAGGCATTTTGCAGTTTGGTCGTCCATACAAGATACTCTTACGCAGACCATGAGAATATATCTCGAATCTCAATCCACCATACCCAATTTAGTTCCTATTATTTACTAAGCATCCACCCCCAAAAGTGCATTTTATCAGATTAGTATTCCTCTGGGAAGGAGTCATTTGGAAGAGCCAGATATACAAATTTGGGGCTTACTAATATAGACATAGGGACGTGGTGGCACTGCGGGCTAAACCGCAGAAGCCTGTGCTGCAGGGACAGAAGACCAGCAGTCGTAAGATCGAATCCACATGACGGAGTGAGCTCCCGTCGCTTTGTCCCAGCTCCCACCAACCTAGCGGTTCGAAAGCATGCAAATGCAAGTAGATAAATAGGGACCACCTCGGTGGGAAGGTAACAGCATTCCGTGTCTAAGTGACCACGGAAGATTGTCTTCGGACAAAAATGCTGGCTCTATGGCTTGGAAACGGGGATGAGCACCGCCCCCTAGAGTCGAACACGACTGGACAAAAATTTTCAAGGGGAACCTTTACCTTTACCTAATATAGACATGGAACTGGGCACAAACGAGTCAGCATAACTTGGATCCAATAAGCATGAAAAAAGTTTTGGTGAAAAGCAAGCAAAGGTTCAAATGAAGTTAATGAAAGAATTCTGCTCCATGTGTCTCGGTAAAATAAATATTACACAGTGCTCCGTTTGGATTGCCATGGAGAGACAGACAGCACCCTATAAAAGAACAGATCCGAGCACAGAGCTTATAGGAATTCAAGAAAGTAACTCTTCTGGGAGTACTAAACCAAAAGAGGAACTCTTCTAACTAAGTCCATTTAGACACACAAGCATAAGAAAAGGCCACATAATATTTGTTTTGCTTGATTGTGCTACGTTTCCACAGCAGAGTCATACAGCTTCCATTAATGATCCCTGCTTTTCTCAAGGCCAGGAAGCAATCCTAGGGAAACCGTTCTTGAATCACTGTTGCCAGGAAGTTGGTAGGAATTTTGCTTGTGACTCTTCTCTCCTAACTGGGCAAAATCAGCTCCAGGAACAAGTCCCTGCAACGTTCTTGCAGCGCGGGAAGTTAAGGAAATGCAGGTACAGCTTCTTGGGCCTGCCTTGAGCAAGAAGCTTGACCAAACCTTAGCACTCCAACTGGGATGCTTAGGAAGACACACACACACACACACACACACACACACACACACACACACACACACACAGAGACACAGACACAGCTCTTCATTGAGCTGCACAAAGCATGGCAGCTTGCCTCAAGAAGAGAGAGAGAGGTGCAACTTGTCCCACGCCTAACTATATTAATACAGCCATCCATCAAAGACTGATGAGCTCAAGCCAGAGCTCACAAACGTTCCATGACTGAGAAATTCTGGGAATTCTGACTCTGATTAACTATACAGGTTAGCTTCTAATGCCCCAGTCCAAAAATGTACAGGACCAGAATGCTTGCCCTGCTGCATAATGCAGGGATTGTGAATGCTGTGCTTTTAGACTTTTGTGCAGGTTTCCATACAAGATAGCATACTGAGATAGTGCATAAGGTTCCCCAAGAATTAATGAGTTTCCAGAGGTCATCATCTACACGCCACCATCACACATAAGTAACAGACTGTTTTACATTCATCTTCTATTCTTTACTGTAAAGCTGTAATTTGGCTTATTTTTTCTCTAAAAATGTTCTAGCCATGCACACACCTACAAGTCATTTTCAAGTTAAGATTGCAGACATTATCTTTTTTGTGCATTGTAGAACTGTATAGAAGCATTCACATGCTTAGTGAGCATTTTCTTCTTGAGTAATTTTTCTCAAATATCACATTCTCTCCCCCCTCCCCGCTATCTACTGATACTGTTAAACTGCTATAATTCCACATCTAGGCAATCCCAAGTTTTAGTTCTTTACTCATTTCAGTTATTTCTGCATGCAAATTAGATGGTGGCATAAGGAAGTAAGAACTTTTAAACATCCAAAGGACTTTTAAAAAAACCCGAACATATTGCACTGCAAAGTGGAAATAAAAATAAGTACTTCAAACCAAATTATTTTGGTCAACTTACTCCCTAAGCCTATTATATTTATTTAGGAGTAAAATCCAATACACCTAATGAATCTGACTTCTCAGTAAGCTGCACAAGATTGCACTTTCTGTGTTTCTTACCAAAATATCTTAAAAAGGTGAAATACAAGTAAAGATTTCAATGGGTAAAACACTGAATATCCAGATACATATTCCTATTATGCTTTGTGTTGTTTAAAAATTCTGGACATCCCCATTTATGCAGTAACCTAAAGCAAGTCCAACATTTAAACAGACTGTTTACATAAAAGACAATATTTTTTTCAAAATATCAAAATGAGGATGTCCAATATATCTCTCTTAATTTGAACAACCAGGAGTTCAGGACAACATATTAATAAACAAGACAGCAATGCCCTTAAAGTGGCTAACTTGCAGGCTACTGTGCAGATAACTTTTTTTTTCAATATTTAGACTAATTGAAAAACCACACGAAACATGGTCTTCAATCAGGCAGAATTCCCATTGGCTAGTGGGGCTATGCTTTGAACAAAAATTTGGCCCGATCAATACACGGAGAACTAACAGCACTTAAATAAAAGAGAAGAACTTTTATCTGGAGATGGGAATAGTAAAGGTCTACAGGGGGAAAATGAACACATGGAAATACTAGCACTGGTGATTTGTTTCCAAATTTTGAAAGCAGCATGACAATATAAAACATTTGTCATCATTCTGAATTGCAATCAATGGACTCAATGGGAACTCAGCCTAAATATTTGTAACTGCAATTTATTATTATATGTTTTCAATAAATGAAGGAAGCAAAACTGCTGTCTAACTAGCAGAAAAATGTACTGATTTTAAGGTCAAAATGAATCTAACTTCCCTTTGGGGGGGATCACTAATTAATATGTGACTCATATGTATTATAAACTGCATTACTGCCCACTAAGCACATGTATTATGTAAGAAAAGTGTATCAGAACTTAGCTTCTTATAGTCACAGCAGTTCAGATTAAGCCTACGCTAACAACCCTTACAGTCAACGGAGGTGTACGAACAAGACGCGGCCAGCAATAGAAGATGCACGCATGAAAGCTTTTTTCCTTCCTTACTTGTAGCCAAATTAATCCACTAGGTAACTCAACTCTAGGCATAATGCATAGTGTGTGAAACCCATTAATTACTTCCCCCCATCCCTTCCTCTAAGTTTACTTTAAAAGCAGTCAGTAGACAATGCAACGTAATTAATTTACCAATTTATTTTATGAAAAGACTCTTTGCCATCATGAAAATGTAATCATAACCTCGGTGCTGAGCAGGAAGTGAGTGGATTTCTGTGCGAACGGTTTGTCACAATGCAAAAGGTAATTATTTAGTGCTTCTGTTCCCTTTAATGATCTAACATTGAGCAATACTGTTTATATTGAAGAGAGCTTGCACCTTTAATTACCAATTACATATACATAATTTTAGAGCCAAAAGGGAAAGAAAGAAAGAAAAATACGAGTGCTATGAAAAGACTCCTTTAGACAACATGTGCACCGCTTCTAGAAAAGAATTCTTATTAGGTGGAAGAGGGTGTCAAAATATTAAAACACATATGCACAAAGGGAGATAAAGGTAAAAGAAGTGGAAGAGACAAAGTAGCACAGCGGAACTGAGCCAAGGTACATAAGAAAGAAATGCAACTACTGGTGAAAGGGGGAAAGAAGAATCCAAAACCGCCTCTTGGCATTTTCTATACCCATCCTGGTCTGCCTTACAGTCAAGATATGCCTATGAAATTTCAGCACTCTAACTATGCATACATACTAACAGCGCTGGTATTTTTACAAAATCTTTTATCTTTTCAAGATGGGAGAGGGAGGAAAAACACAGAGAGTATTACAGTTTCCCGTCTTTCTTCCTCTCTGTCTTTCTAACAAAGAAAGAAAAGTATAACACTGCAATACTTAACCAAACTTTCAGATCCTGTCTATGTCAAAATTCCATAATCTCTTTCAGTTGTCAAGCAACTGAATTGTTCATGGTTTTCTTTTCACTTCTCCAATGATTTCCCTTCATGGTTTAAGTCACTTCAGAAGGATTATATTCTATTTATGCATAGATACAGTTACAGAGAAAGAGAGTTTTCTCCCATTCTAAAAACTGATCTGGAAATCAGAAGTTTTTAACCTGCCCAGTTTCCTGCAGGTTTAGCTGCACAAATTGGCATCTTACATGACTACGGCCTACACTAACATTTCCCTGTAGTTAGTCCACATGCAACCCATTCACATGAATTTTCCCCTCCCTTCTGCACCACCCAAGCATTTCTTTTTTTAAAAAAAAAATCTGGTATCCTTTGACAGTCTTAATACAGTACTTTAGAAAATCATTTCTGAATGATTCAGATATACTTTCTGCACAAAGC